CCCTCCTGGAACAGAGACCACGATGACACGGCATCAACGCGTTCTGGGGGAACCCCTGGACCCTCCAGCGGAGGACACACATCACACAGCGGGGACAACAGCAGTGAGCAAGGTAGGAACAGAGCCCTCACACTTTCCTAGCTGGCCAGTGGTCACCAGCGTGCTCAGGGACTGGTTACTTTCTTTCTGGTGTGGAAATATGCTCTGGTGCTAGAGGGTTTGTGCTGAGAAAGGTCTATCTTCCTTTTTTTTTGACATTTTTTTCCTCCATCTCCTCCCAGTAAAGGGATTGGCATCTTTATTTCTTTAACCCTGCCATCAGGCACATGTTAGAGCAACATATGTACCAAATTTGCAGTGTGCTTAATAAAAATAAGAAATGAGAAGTTTGGGGTTTTTTCTTCATTCAAATGGGCTGAAAGATGAAATCTTCAAAACCAAGTGTAATTAAGATTTCAGAAATGCATGCCAATATGTCAGAGATGCCATCAAAACTTGATTGCATATAAAGATGAGATGTTAGCTGGACTGTTTTACAAAATCCTGAGCTGTGCTTTTATTTACTTTTTGATACTCGATTCCAATTAACTTGAATGCAAGAACGTTCTGTTTGAGTGCCAGGCCTGTGCAGCTGATTTAACAGGGCAAGTATGAGATGAGCTTGGTGCAATGGAAGTGAGACATTCTACAAATAATCTGTGCTGTCTCAGAAACTCTGAAATCTAAAAAGCTGAATCTGTATTTTTTTTCTGAGAAGCTGAAAGCATATTTTTTCTGAAGAGACCAACTGCAGTGGATTTCGTGTTAATTTAATGCAATTAAAATTTAAAAAGGATCCTTTATCTGAATATAAAAGAGAGTGCTTTATTGAAGTTGACTCTGAACTCACAATAGGTATATACTTTTAAATCTGGTTTTATGATCATGTTTCATTCAAGTGCTGTTAGACAACAAAGGAATTGTGTTTCCAAAAAAAGGTTGAACAGTACTGATTAGCATTGCAAAGTCTGCATTTAACAAGATTAGTTTTTAAACTAAACCAGTATATTTTAATTTTTTATATGCATGGATTTAACGTACATGGTGAATAACATCTCTTTATAGAATTTTAAGTATTTGAGACTCATTATTGTTTAAAGAAAAGTTGCTGACTTCATCGCAAGTGTAGCCTAGTAAAAATGGGGCCTGGAATAGTAAACTGTTGCAGAGTTGAGGCAGACACTGGTAACCTTCTGACCTCTGACTTTTACTGGAAAATGATATGCAACATAAATTCAGGGGGCCTTTTTTCTTTCAAGTATGTACACATATATATTCCAGTGTTGTTCACAATGCTATAGTTGAAGTGGTGTCAACTTGTTCATTAGAGCCCCTTGCTTTTGGAGCAAACTTTAAATCCATGGAGGTTTTTTAAGGCTGAGAAAGCTGCTTCAGAAATAAGCTTTGAACTAAATTGTGGTGTTTTCAGAGGTTTTTTGTATTCGTTTAGGGCTGTTCTTTTATTAGACGGATGTGCGTGTGTTTATGCAGATATGTGCGTGGACAAAACAGCTGTGGGGAGGCTTGCCAGAATGCTCCTAGACCGTTGGAAATTGAGCATAGTTCCTGGTGTACTTCTAAAGATTTTCAGACTTTATTTTCTCCAAAATGTGGCATTTTAAGTAGTCTGGAGTGCTGGTCGTATATGATGTCTAATTGCCATCCTGCAATAAGTTTCTAGAAACGGGTGTGCTGCAGCCTCAGTCAGGAAGGGTTTCCTTAAGGTTTTTTTTTCTTAAGGGTTTTCTTTTCAAGCCTGAGTCCGATGAAGTATCCACAGAAGGACTTGTCAGTGATGTTTTATTCAGTTCTGAAACTGTTACCCAAACCCCAGTGGTTTATTGGGGCTGGGATTGCTGTTTTGTGAAGAAGGCTCAGTGCATTAAAACTGTCAAGAAGAGTAACAAAAGTGGGAATTTGATAACTGGAACTCTCAGGTCAAGTTTGGGAAAGAAATTTTGGACAGGAGATCCTGTCCTGGGAGTCTCTGTTACCAAGGCTTGCCTTCAGGCTACTTGACATCTTTGGAAATGGCATTGTTTTTGAGGAACAGGAATGTGGTAATGGTAGCAGTGGTCTTGCTGAGCCTTGCTTTATGTCTTGTTTACATGAAATGCTCTGAAGGTTGAGATTGTGGGGGAATCTCATTTGTTTAAGCACATCCATGCCTGTGTGTACACCTTCTGTAAAAAAAAGCTTCCATAATGTGATTTTAGCGTTTCCCTGCGGGGAAGGAGTGAAAAAATACAACCCTAAAGGACTGAAATGGAAGACAACTAAAAGATAGCAAATATCCTGCCTCTCCCCAACTGCATTGAATTTCCAGATGCTGTGATTTGGTGGCTTTTTCTTCTGTGGCCTGATGTTAGGAGTGTAACATTGTGGTTTAACCCCTGTGTTCACCACTGCTGGGTGCTTTTCTTGGCAGCAGAAGGAGCCAGCATGGCACTGCCATAGCAGCCAGGTTCTGTGGAGGGGTGGCAGCAAAAGGCTGGGGACCCACATGCTTGTGCTTGCAACCATAGGAGTTAACTCGAGATGCATGCGTTGCATGACATATATTCAGTATATTATGGGCTTCCCTATTTTTAGGAGTTTGTAAAAGTTCCTTTTGGTTCCTTCCATCTGTCAAGATCACATTTGCCATTTAAAAAAAAGGGGAAAAAAAAAAAAGCAAATCTGATCACCAGAAATAAAACCTTCAATAAAACTCTCTAAAAGTCTGGTTTCAGGTTTTTCTCACAACCTACTTCCCTCGTTGGGGTAGGTAAAAGCACCTTCTGGCCCAGGTTTGCAACCTGTCTGAAAGTATCACAAAGGTGTAAATGTAAGCTTTGCATTTTCGGAGAGGCACAGACTGGAATGCTTAAGCCTTTAGCAAGACTTTTCTCCTTAGTCCTTAACCCAGACTATGTTAAGGTCTATTTTTGGACTTTTTGGAGATTTTTCTTCATTACCTTATTCACTACAAATCTTGCAAAGTGTATTTTTAACCTATTTATGTCCCAGTATAGAACGCCCATCAAAGGATTGCCTTGGAAATCAGGAGAGATGGTCTTTCCTGTAAATATTTTAAAGTCTTCTTCAATGTCTAAATTTATTTACTTAGTAAATAGTAATAACTCCCAGCTGCTTCGATCTATTGCAGAAATCCATATTTAACTGCTAGGGACCTGTTCTGAGGTCTCGTGCCACTGAACAGCAGGATATGTTATTGCATAGTACGTTGACACAACCTCTTCTAAAGTCTTGGTATTGTGTCATCATAGGGCATAGTTATAGTACAGGAATGCAGAATAATATTATGAAAAAGTTTTCCGGTTGCTCTGAACTTAAGGGGAAAGGCCTTTGGAGGTCTGTCTCCAAATGGTGCTAAGAGATCTGAATTTACTTAGTGGAGAATCAATTCACTATATTCTATTTAAAAGAAGAGAAGCAAATTCTTATGTACAGGCAGGTGATGCTGAGCTCATGGCAGCACTATTTTATCTTACTTTGTCTTGTAACTTCAAAAGATTCCTGTCTGGGATATTGAGAGATGTGTTTTGTTTGTTTTTCAAATAGTGAGACCAGGAAGATGCTGAACAAAGCCTTGGTACAGTCACTTTTAATCCAGAGTGGAGTTCCTTATTTCCCATGTTTAGCTTTCCTATACAGCTTAAAAGAAAAAGAAAAATAATCCATCAGTGTCACCTTATTTGTGTGTATTGTTTCCCTCTTTTTTTTTTTCTCCCCCAAGCCTCAGCCTGCATTCAAAGAATTTTTTTAACCTCCAAATAATTGTTGCTCCTTCAAGCCAGGAGTAGAAAGCAGTGATATTTCTTTATAAAACTGTATCAATGGCTGCAATGGTTTATTTTTTTCAGGGTTTTGTAGCAGTTTGAGCAACCTATAGGCAAAAAGGCAATCGGGTTTATTATTGCTGGGAATCTCCAGGCGGTTGTTTGGAGGCTGCAAAGGCAGGCAGCAGAGCTGGGAAGAGGGGGAGAGAAGGGCCACATTATGTTCCAGATGACTGAGCAAGGATTTATATACCAGCTTGCCTTTTTTTTTTTTTTCCTTTTTTTTGTTTTCCTTTTTTTTTTTTTTTTAACATGGGAGAAGAAAAGTAATAAGAGCGGGGAGGCATTTGAAGCGGTCAGATGGCCGATGACTAATGGGATAGGTGGGCAGGAGCCCTCGGATTGGGTGTCTTAATGAGCACATTTCGCACCGAGTTTGGGCTGCAGTTCCCCTTCACCTTTGCCCTTTATTGACCGAACTGACACTTCATTTTTCACATACTTCCAATTATGGCTGAGCTTAAGTGTCGCCCTGCCTCTTTTCTTTCTTGCCTATGGATGGCTTGAGAGTGGCTAAGGCCACAGAAGATATTTTAATTTGAAAAACTACCATAGCAAGGCAGGTTTAGGGTGTAACCTGAAACTGCTGTCACTTGGCAGTTTCTCCGATGAAAACAAAAGTTTTAATGTTTCTTGTTTAGCGCTTCACCACCAGTTCCCTCCCTGGTCTGTGGTGATGTGGGGAATTGCTTTGGGAGTGATTGGGTTGGTGAGGGGTGTTTTCCTCCGGATAAACCTGTTCTGGCACTACAGGTGTCATGGGCGGGAGTCACTGAAGTAAAGAGGTAAAACCAAATGAAAAGCAGTGCCGTGCTTGAGCGGTGGCGCCTCTTTCCTTCTCAATGCAGCATCTTCTCAAATGGATTCTTGTGATGTAATGCCCTGCAATGTCCTTTGCTGGACTTTCCCCTTATGGAAAAGAAAAGCATAATCGTGCTTGCACTCCTCAAGCCTTAGGCCAATGTGGATTTTTTGTTTTGGCAATATTTAATGCATGAATGCAGATTTGAGTGTGGCCTGGCTGTGAAGCTTTGAGAAGTGGCTGAAAATTATGCTGGGAGAGGCTGGTAGGATGAAGAGGTGGAAAAATCTGCAGTCACCTCTTTGGTGTACAAGGAGAACCATGATATATCTCCTCCTGCTCAAGCCTGTGTGCATTTCCACGTTGGCTTTTACATGCAGAATCCTTCCAGGGCGGAAATGTCTGTTTGCTTTTGCAGGGCTTAGGGGG